TTAACATCGCGTATATGCCCGAAAAACTCTCGAAAGCCCAACAGAACTATTCGGTAACCGAATTGGAATGTTTGGCTGTGATTAGAGGAATTAACAAATTCAGGGCGTATATCGAGGGGCAAGATTTCGTAGTAGTTACAGACCACGCGTCGCTGCAGTGGCTAATGAAGCAGAAGGACTTATCGGGGAGGTTAGCCAGATGGGCAATCCGCTTGCAAGGGTTTTCATTCGAGATTAAGCACAGAAAAGGGACTCAGAACGTCGTAGCCGATACGCTTTCTAGGAGAGACGAACTAGTAGTCAATGAGATTCACGGTCTCGGCCCTATGATCGACATGTCCTCGAAGGAGTTTATGTCGCAAGAGTATGTAGAATTGACCAGAAGAATACAAGATGACCAGTCACGGCTGGCAGACTTGCGTGTGGATAACGGGTATATCTATAAGCGCCTCGAAGGCGTGGAAGGTAGTGATTCATGGAAGCTTTGGGTGCCTTCGAACCTCCGAAACAGTGTACTATATCGAGCACGCGATCCATGTGACTCAGCTCACCTAGGCATGGGTCGGATGGCGCAGAAGCTTAAGCAATTCTTCTTTTGGCCGGGGATGATTACACAAATCCGTTCATACATATCAAACTGTCCCACATGTAAATCCACTAAAGGCGCAAACCTAATACTAAGGCCGCCCATGGGCAGGCCAATGACATCAGACAGACCTTTTCAGAAGTTGTATATGGATCTATTAGAGCCATATCCGAGGTCAAAAGAAGGTAATATCGGGTTATTGATTATAGTCGACCACATGTCTAAGTTCCATTTCTTGCAACCATTAAAGAAATTCACTTCGGATAAAATCTGCGATTATCTACTAAGACACGTCTTTTACACATTCGGCGTGCCCGAGTCGATTTTGACTGACAACGGTTCGCAATTTAAATCGGGACAATTCAAGGCGTTCCTGACTTGTTTTGGCATATCACATATCTGTACCGCGTTCTACTCTCCTCAGGCCAACGCCAGTGAGAGGCTCAACCGTTCTGTCCTAGCAGCCGTACGCGCGTACGTGGGTCAAGACCACACAAATTGGGATAAGCAACTAAGTGAGATTAGCGGGTCCTTGAGGGCAAACTTCCATCGTAGCATAGGCTACTCACCTTTCTACCTTTGCTTCGGTCAGAACATTTTATTAAATGGCAAAGATTACGACCTTCTTCGTAAGCTGGACTTATTACAAGACGATTTAGCGATAAAGTATCCTGAAGTTCTTCAATTAGCTCGACAAGAGGCCAAAGCCAGAATAGCAGACAGCCATGAGACCAAGCTCGAAAGTACAACTTGCGAAGTCGGACCGTACAGCTGAAGGTTGGCGACACTGTCTTCGCTAGAAATTTTGCACAGAGCAATGCCGTTAAGAAATTCAGTAGCAAATTAGCGCCAGTTTTTATGATATCAAAGGTAATCAGTCAGCCCGGCATACTATGAACTAGCGAACGAGAAAGGCAAATCAATAGGTATATACCATCTCAAAGATATTCAAATCGGCAAATAGACAGATCGCCATTTCAGTTAACAGCCTTTCGAGATATGATTCTCCATCTGTTAACTGTGGTTGTAGGGTACAATGCACGAACGAACGCATAAGGGTTAATGTTTTGGCTGTAAGTTGTTCCTCACTCGCATATATAAAACGTAAATAGCGGCATAATTCCCGAATTTGCTGGACCGCCTCTCTGTACTGTACGTCTGCCATCTCGCTCGCACGATCTGCGCCGCGGCGACTGAACATCTGGCGAAAATCAGTGTGAGCGACGAGACGACGGAAAATATCACGCCATAACGCCGTTATTTTCCGTCTCTGCGCTCCCTACTTAGATTTCTGGAAGCGTAGTCAGCCACGTAGGCCAACTTCTGTGCACAGCTCGAGCACTTGAGTTTCGCTCGCTAAGGCCAGCAGACGTGCGCCAAAACCCACAGTCAAGATATAATTCGGAACAAGTCCACGTGAAAACTGATCGACAAACGGTACCGAAGTGCGGCAAGGTGCAACCTGTACAGTAATAGCTAAAGTGAATAGTGCAAAACCATAGACTGAGGTGAATATCAGTCATAATTTTCCTTGAAGACCGGTCATATAATATCGGAAGTGTTTTTGTTTCAGAACCCACCCCCCCGCAATCGATCTCTTAACAGGCGCTAAGTCCCTGCCACTCAGTGTATGCTGGCTCTGGTATCGTCAAACGATTGCAGAGCGGGGGGTGGCTTTTAGGACCCTGGTCGGTTGCCGTCAAATTTCTGCGAGCGTATTCATTAAACAGTCAGAAGGGAGGTCGGATCAGCCATCCAGCGCCCGCATCTCGGCTTACGTACCGGCAGCGGAGGCGCCTTGATGAACAAATAAGCAACGCAGACCTAGCCAACACCTACACATCAGAGACTAGATATGTAGTCGGGTAGATACCCCGCTACCTCAACACCACTAGGGCATGAGGCCTAAGTAACAGGAGGCATCGGCCGCACGGCGTTGCCAGATGCGATTCGACTGTTGTATGCTCAGCGGCGGTAACCTTGCGTAGATTTTAGTTTTCCTTTTTCTATTCGCTGTATTTGAGTAGTTTTAGCATAAGTGTACTTGTACGAAATTTCTAACGATAGTTTTAAATACGTCCATTAGGTAAAAAGCTTCTTATGTAAACGGGAAGTGCATCGAAGTTAAGGTTGTACACATCACACATATACATATACATCATGTTCTAATCTACCCTCAAGGGATCAACGAGAGCTTCATTGGGCCCAACGAACGCTTCGATGGATTTTCCTATAAAGTACCGATCGTGAGTAAGCCCTTAATGAATATTGTATGAAAATGTTTGAGCCTTAATTATTGTCGATGCGAATTCCGCGATAGCTAAAACCTCTGGCGTAAATATGTAAATAAGAATTTACCTAGTTAACCTGAATTACGTACCGCTTTTGAATTTGCAATGGTTTGCCATAGATATACATGTATATAATGTATTAGGGATATAAATCTTGGAGTATAGTAATAAGTAAACGGCACCACCCTGTGCTTAGATTATCTAAAACGACCTTTGAAGGGTTTATTAGAACGCACCGCGCGTAAACTTATGAAATAAATGGAAACAATGAATTCTTTGTATAACGCCACGAAATGATCGTGTAGATTCTTTTTTTTTTGATCGTCACCGGAGCTACATGATGTTTGAGGGGTATAAGAATATAATCTGAGGTCAGATAAGGGGTAATCTAATAGATGTCAAGGTTACCATGGAAGGGTGGGTAAAGACTAGGGGGGCAAACAATGTCCAAGTCTCCCTAACCCTTGATCGATTGGAGATCTGTTCCTGTTGGCGTAACTAAGCAGTGGGTACAGCCGATTACAACAATTTAGGTACATCTTAATAGTTTCAGATAGTGCACTTATTTTCTTGTTTTATGTCGTGGTATAGCGGAAGTAGAAAGAACCCACGCCAGTCCGACGAGCATAGCGCAGAGCATCGCTAGAAGTGCACGACCTCTACGACCAGCATACCGAGTGGCGACTTGAGAATCGGTAGGATTCGAGTTGAACGCTACACCGTTAACGTTCGCTGTGTCAGATAAAAATCCCAATGCGAAACTCACACGCTGGAAAGGTATTATCGATGATCATGGAGCAAAAGTAATTTACAAGCCAGGCAAAGAAAACCTTGTAGCAGACGCGTTGTCTCGCCAAAATATAAACGCCTTACAAGACACCCCAGAATCGGACGCGGCTACGATACGTAGCGAACAATCGCTTTCTTACACCATTGACACGACCGACAACCCGGTCAACTGCTTCCGAAATCAGATTATAATCGAGGAGACACATAATAAAGTTCTCAGACCGCAATAGCCTGATTACATCGATTCAAGATGTAGTCAATCCGGAGGTAGTAAATGCGATACATTGCTCCCACCCAGTCCTAGCTTTTGTTCAGCATAAGATAATCGAGTTATTCCCAGGCACAACATTTAAGTATTCAAAAACCTTTGTACAGGACATAACAGATAAAACCGAACAAAAAGAAATCATAGTTACTAAGCATAATAGAGTCCACCGTGCTGCTCAAGAAAATGTAAAACAGATTTTACGGGACTATTTCTTTCCAAAAATGCTCAGGCTAGCATCAGAAGTTACTTTAAATTGTAAAACTTGTTCCATGGCCAAGTACAGCCGCCACCCCACCAAACAGACGGTCGGACAAACACCAATACCCTCTTACGCAGGGGAAATTCTTCACATCGACATATTCTCAACGGATGGAAATCTTTTCCTGACATGTATTGACAAATTTTCCAAATTCGCGATAGTGCAGAAAATAACCTCAAGGGCCATCGTGGATGTAAAAGCCCCAATATAAAATGTAATACATTTTTTCCAAACACAAAAATCATTTACTGTGACAACGAGAGGTCACTTAACTCCGAAACGATAAAATCAATTCTTCTTAATAACTTTAATATTTGCATCTCAAATGCACCCCCATTACACAGCACCTCGAACGGACAGGTCGAAAGATTTCCCAGCACTCTTGCTGAAATTGCACGCTGCCTAAAAATTGAAAAACAAATAGACGACACTGCAGAGGTTATCCTACTAGCCACAACAAAATACAATAGAACCATCCATTCAGTGACGAACAAAATGCCTATAGAAATAATACATTCTAATTCTGCAGAATTTGAGACAGGGACTAGCACAAAAATTCAACAGGCCCAGGAGAAGAGCTTAGGCCAGATAAACAAAATCAGAATTTAAAAAAATTTCAGGTCGGCGACAAAGTTTTCCTGAAATCAAATAAACGCCTGGGGAATAAACTGTCTCCCCTATGCTCAGAAGAAATAATTGAGGCGGACCTTTGGACGACAGTTCTCATTAAAGGGAGGGTGGTCCATAAGGACAATTTACGGTAATAATTATCATTAAAAACTAAATTACCCTTTAATTTTATTTTAGGTTTAAGAAATACTTTCTACTACTTACGCTAACGGCTGCCATGCCAAACGCGACAGTCAAATTGAACAACTACACGAACGCGGACTACATCCCCATACTGGACGGTGACATCGTAATTTGGGATAGTTACGGATACCTACAACATTCAACGAACTTAACATCGTACGAGGACTATGCGGACGAGACGGATGCAATAACAAAGAATTTCACGAACGATCACAGGACCCAGGTAATAACCACTGACTTAGGACACATTTGCAAATTAGTTGCTACCCTTAAGGTTCACCACAGGGATGCTAGGAGCATTAACTTAATCGGAACAGCACTTAAAGTCATTGCAGGAACTCCCGACTTTAATGATTGGGAGCAAGTAAAGTTTAACCAAGAACAATTAATTAACGCCGAGAATGGAGACCTAGTCGCCGACTGCGCAGCCCGAATTGTCAACATCGGGGCGGCAAAACTACAGTAGGCGCTACGTTCTGCAAAGAACTCCAAGGCGATACATGCGCACAACAGATGGTGGCCGGAGTGACTGCGCAATGCTCTACCCTACCAGGTCACTTGAGCCCAGTTACCGTAGTGGACCACGGTACCCTCATCATCAACGACGCCCGTGTGACCATCATAGACGACCTCGGTCTGAAGCAAGAAATATCTGGCTCGTACCTGCTAACCTACTCTAGCAAGGTGTCACTCAACGGCACTTGGTACATAAACCAACTTGGAACTTCGAGGAAAAAGCCTGCGGTTTCAGCCGTGACCCTAGTAAACATTACTGCTCATCAGAATCGACTCAGCCTTCCGTTTCTCCATGAGCTGAGCTTGAGAAATCTCCACCACATTGGGACCCTTAGAGAAAAATGTACTATGGGTTTCTTCCTCAGCTACTCCTTCGCTCTACTTGCCTCCTTCCTATTGTGCTCCACCATTTGGCTCGGATACCACGTTCTCAGGATCAGAGGGCAAGGCAAACCGGGAACCAATGGCGACGTAGAATCAGCAGGTCACCGGGACGGCGACCACTTAAAAGAGGGAGGAGTTAGCACGACCAGTTCCCATGAGCAGAATTTGCCGAGTTGCAGGTCGGATCAGCCATCCAGCGCCCGCATCTCGGCTTACGTACCGGCAGCGGAGGCGCCTTGATGAACAAATAAGCAACGCAGACCTAGCCAACACCTACACATCAGAGACTAGATATGTAGTCGGGTAGATACCCCGCTACCTCAACACCACTAGGGCATGAGGCCTAAGTAACAGGAGGCATCGGCCGCACGGCGTTGCCAGATGCGATTCGACTGTTGTATGCTCAGCGGCGGTAACCTTGCGTAGATTTTAGTTTTCCTTTTTCTATTCGCTGTATTTGAGTAGTTTTAGCATAAGTGTACTTGTACGAAATTTCTAACGATAGTTTTAAATACGTCCATTAGGTAAAAAGCTTCTTATGTAAACGGGAAGTGCATCGAAGTTAAGGTTGTACACATCACACATATACATATACATCATGTTCTAATCTACCCTCAAGGGATCAACGAGAGCTTCATTGGGCCCAACGAACGCTTCGATGGAATTTCCTATAAAGTACCGATCGTGAGTAAGCCCTTAATGAATATTGTATGAAAATGTTTGAGCCTTAATTATTGTCGATGCGAATTCCGCGATAGCTAAAACCTCTGGCGTAAATATGTAAATAAGAATTTACCTAGTTAACCTGAATTACGTACCGCTTTTGAATTTGCAATGGTTTGCCATAGATATACATGTATATAATGTATTAGGGATATAAATCTTGGAGTATAGTAATAAGTAAACGGCACCACCCTGTGCTTAGATTATCTAAAACGACCTTTGAAGGGTTTATTAGAACGCACCGCGCGTAAACTTATGAAATAAATGGAAACAATGAATTCTTTGTATAACGCCATGAAATGATCGTGTAGATTCTTTTTTTTTTGATCGTCACCGGAGCTACATGATGTTTGAGGGGTATAAGAATATAATCTGAGGTCAGATAAGGGGTAATCTAATAGATGTCAAGGTTACCATGGAAGGGTGGGTAAAGACTAGGGGGGCAAACAATGTCCAAGTCTCCCTAACCCTTGATCGATTGGAGATCTGTTCCTGTTGGCGTAACTAAGCAGTGGGTACAGCCGATTACAACAATTTAGGTACATCTTAATAGTTTCAGATAGTGCACTTATTTTCTTGTTTTATGTCGTGGTATAGCGGAAGTAGAAAGAACCCACGCCAGTCCGACGAGCATAGCGCAGAGCATCGCTAGAAGTGCACGACCTCTACGACCAGCATACCGAGTGGCGACTTGAGAATCGGTAGGATTCGAGTTGAACGCTACACCGTTAACGTTCGCTGTGTCAGATAAAAATCCCAATGCGAAACTCACACGCTGGAAAGGTATTATCGATGATCATGGAGCAAAAGTAATTTACAAGCCAGGCAAAGAAAACCTTGTAGCAGACGCGTTGTCTCGCCAAAATATAAACGCCTTACAAGACACCCCAGAATCGGACGCGGCTACGATACGTAGCGAACAATCGCTTTCTTACACCATTGACACGACCGACAAACCGGTCAACTGCTTCCGAAATCAGATTATAATCGAGGAGACACATAATAAAGTTCTCAGACCGCAATAGCCTGATTACATCGATTCAAGATGTAGTCAATCCGGAGGTAGTAAATGCGATACATTGCTCCCACCCAGTCCTAGCTTTTGTTCAGCATAAGATAATCGAGTTATTCCCAGGCACAACATTTAAGTATTCAAAAACCTTTGTACAGGACATAACAGATAAAACCGAACAAAAAGAAATCATAGTTACTAAGCATAATAGAGTCCACCGTGCTGCTCAAGAAAATGTAAAACAGATTTTACGGGACTATTTCTTTCCAAAAATGCTCAGGCTAGCATCAGAAGTTACTTTAAATTGTAAAACTTGTTCCATGGCCAAGTACAGCCGCCACCCCACCAAACAGACGGTCGGACAAACACCAATACCCTCTTACGCAGGGGAAATTCTTCACATCGACATATTCTCAACGGATGGAAATCTTTTCCTGACATGTATTGACAAATTTTCCAAATTCGCGATAGTGCAGAAAATAACCTCAAGGGCCATCGTGGATGTAAAAGCCCCAATATAAAATGTAATACATTTTTTCCAAACACAAAAATCATTTACTGTGACAACGAGAGGTCACTTAACTCCGAAACGATAAAATCAAAATCAAAATTACACAGCACCTCGAACGGACAGGTCGAAAGATTTCCCAGCACTCTTGCTGAAATTGCACGCTGCCTAAAAATTGAAAAACAAATAGACGACACTGCAGAGGTTATCCTACTAGCCACAACAAAATACAATAGAACCATCCATTCAGTGACGAACAAAATGCCTATAGAAATAATACATTCTAATTCTGCAGAATTTGAGACAGGGACTAGCACAAAAATTCAACAGGCCCAGGAGAAGAGCTTAGGCCAGATAAACAAAATCAGAATTTAAAAAAATTTCAGGTCGGCGACAAAGTTTTCCTGAAATCAAATAAACGCCTGGGGAATAAACTGTCTCCCCTATGCTCAGAAGAAATAATTGAGGCGGACCTTTGGACGACAGTTCTCATTAAAGGGAGGGTGGTCCATAAGGACAATTTACGGTAATAATTATCATTAAAAACTAAATTACCCTTTAATTTTATTTTAGGTTTAAGAAATACTTTCTACTACTTACGCTAACGGCTGCCATGCCAAACGCGACAGTCAAATTGAACAACTACACGAACGCGGACTACATCCCCATACTGGACGGTGACATCGTAATTTGGGATAGTTACGGATACCTACAACATTCAACGAACTTAACATCGTACGAGGACTATGCGGACGAGACGGATGCAATAACAAAGAATTTCACGAACGATCACAGGACCCAGGTAATAACCACTGACTTAGGACACATTTGCAAATTAGTTGCTACCCTTAAGGTTCACCACAGGGATGCTAGGAGCATTAACTTAATCGGAACAGCACTTAAAGTCATTGCAGGAACTCCCGACTTTAATGATTGGGAGCAAGTAAAGTTTAACCAAGAACAATTAATTAACGCCGAGAATGGAGACCTAGTCGCCGACTGCGCAGCCCGAATTGTCAACATCGGGGCGGCAAAACTACAGTAGGCGCTACGTTCTGCAAAGAACTCCAAGGCGATACATGCGCACAACAGATGGTGGCCGGAGTGACTGCGCAATGCTCTACCCTACCAGGTCACTTGAGCCCAGTTACCGTAGTGGACCACGGTACCCTCATCATCAACGACGCCCGTGTGACCATCATAGACGACCTCGGTCTGAAGCAAGAAATATCTGGCTCGAACCTGCTAACCTACTCTAGCAAGGTGTCACTCAACGGCACTTGGTACATAAACCAACTTGGAACTTCGAGGAAAACGCCTGCGGTTTCAGCCGTGACTCTAGTAAACATTACTGCTCATCAGAATCGACTCAGCCTTCCGTTTCTCCATGAGCTGAGCTTGAGAAATCTCCACCACATTGGGACCCTTAGAGAAAAATGTACTATGGGTTTCTTCCTCAGCTACTCCTTCGCTCTACTTGCCTCCTTCCTATTGTGCTCCACCATTGGGCTCGGATACCACGTTCTCAGGATCAGAGGGCAAGGCAAACCGGGAACCAATGGCGACGTAGAATCAGCAGGTCACCGGGACGGCGACCACTTAAAAGAGGGAGGAGTTAGCACGACCAGTTCCCATGAGCAGAATTTGCCGAGTTGCAGGCCATATCCGGTGGACAACACGCGCAGTAAGGAAACTGCCGAATCTACATCTTGGGTGCCATCACCCCATCGTCTGATACTAAGTGCTGACCCGGCGCTCCAGCGGCAGTGCGGGGAACACGCGCTCAGCGGATGATCGCCGGATACCAAATGCTGACCTTGCATTTTGGTGACGGCGCTGCCGGTTGGCAAAGGCCTCAAGCTGTGGCCGGATCGGACTCTTAAGTTAGTCTAAAATTGGTACTCCACAGCCATAGCTGTGTTAATTAACTCACTGTAAAAGTATCTATCCTTTGCCTAAACAGGCTTAGGAATAATAAATAAATAAAATTAAACACCTCTTCTTCTTATTTGCCTAAACAGACTGGGAGGAATCGGAATAAAATAATTTATATATTTGACAAAATATTCCTGCACGATTGGTTACCAGCGTGACCGCACCAATACCGACAACAGTCCCTATTCAATTTTTCCTACGCTTGCCTGAATAGAAACCTCATCCTTGATCAATTAGCTAAAAGCAATGAAATAATCACTTTAAAATCATTTTACATTGTATTTAGTTTTGAATTTTTTCGGAGCAACTGATACGGATACGGATTCGGATACGGTTTTTCTATGCCGATCACCTGTTCTTTTCGGCCGGAATAAACTTTTGGTAGTTAACGGTTTATTTTTGCACCGATAAATTGTATTGGTACCTGATCCTGAAAAGCTTCAAGGGATAAGAATCATAGTATATGTGTGCGCTGCAATTGTCTTTCGATTTGCAAATACCTGCGACCTGATTTTGACTTAAAAAAAAGGGGTAAGAACCGGGACCGCAGACGGTAAATCCCCTTTGATTGACAATCATAAATTTTCCTAGTACGAAGTAGACTTGCGTTAAACCAATTTTATTTTTCTTGATTTTTTTTTTAAAGTCAAACTGATTTAAAAATTGAAATTGTATTTTTTTGTATTGTTATAAGTATAATTCTTAACAAAAATACTAAAATATATCAACGTTAAGTAAGTGAAATGATGTTGTAAAATAATTTTAAAATAATCGTTATTTAATAAGAAATATAAGTGCCCACCGTTACTCTTAAGATAACATCGAAACTGGCATTTACCAGACAAAAATGCGAGAAATATACCATATTAGGTAGAGGTCTTTAAAGCTGAACTTTAGAGAAAGTGCGCAAAAGTGCAATTTTTACTAACCGAGCTCAATGAGAATTAAATACTCTACAAGATAAAAAAGGTTTCAGAGGTGGAAACAGCAGGAATCACTTTGTAGCTCTATTTAAAAATACAAACTAACTTTAAGATTTTGTTTTTTTTTGACTTTAGAACTAGAACACGAATATACGAGCACCACAATTAATAAATACAATATTAAGGTCACAAACACTATTTACAAGTCCCTCTGGTTGGATGGTATTTCAAAAATCTCAGAGCTATGTTTAGTTTTACACTTTTTGACAATTTAAACTATTAATAATAATAGGCGCTTTACCAGCGCTGCCATCTCGTTGAAATAAAAACAGGCTTTAACAGCTGATAACTTAACAGTGGGGCGCACTTTTAAACTTTTCTGTTAGTAACATTAGATATTGATGTTATCCTGATGCATTCTGATAAATGGGTTTTGACCAAAAAAAGTGGTAAAATTCCCCATAGTGTGGTGGAGGGGTAAGTATAATGGCCCTAGTGCCCGTCGCTTCACCTTGAGAAGAAGGTTTTTGTAATTGGGCGAAAATTGGCGGAACGCAAGGGAATCAAATATGGGGAGCGACACTCGTGTCCTGCGCTGCTAAGCAGGGCCACCCTGGTGTCGCGGAGCAACCGGATTCTGGTAGCTCGGAACGGACTCATAGTCAGAGTGAGGGTGGCACCCTGCTAAAACAAACTTCAGCTGCGCAGGAAGAGTACAAATCTGCATGCCAAGTCCCAACATTCTAACCCTTACAGTTTCCGAGATATTAGCGTTCATACGGACAGACGGAAATGGCCAGATCGACTTGGCTATTGATCCTGTTCAAGAGTATCAAAAAATTCAAAAACAGATATTTTAAGAATAATTAAACGATATACACACGACTTAAACACACACGAGGTTTTGAAGTGTTTCAAAATATCAATTGAAAAATAGCATCGCACACTTTGGGGGCCTACTCCACTCGCAGAGCATTTTGCCAAAATGCAAGATAAGCCATCTATATGGAAGTGTCACTAAAATAACTCCGATGCTTTTGAGAAAAACGATTAACAGCAGGCTAACCTATAATCCAGCCCATACAAAGAAAAAACAATAATATAATTTACAATTGAGTCGTTCATAAAAACCTGTGCCAAAAATTTGACTTAAAAAATCGCAGACAGCTTTTAAGAAAACCGTCAGCATTGGAATATGTTAATATGAGCTGAAGGGCTGATAGAAGAGCCGCCGAAACCATTTAAACTGCTAGCCCCCTGCAGTACCACAATTGAGTTAAGCGCCCAATCATCACGAAGCCGACTGCGACGTTGGCAGAGAAGCCAGCGACGCCGGCAGAGCTGAGCGCAACGGCGGCAAAGCGACGCGCTCTCAGTCGGGTCCGCAAAGAGAACGCACAAAAAGTAATTTTGGGCTCTCCCTCTCTGGCCCTGTCTCGGACGGAAAAGTGCGTGTGATGGGAAGGAGGCCCAGAAACTAAAATATATAGCTTTTGTGCACCCTTGCCTTTTGAATAATACGACATTTGTTCGTAAATGATAAAACAACCATTTCAAATAACAGGTTTCTGTTTTAAAATATTTGTATTTCTTAAAAAAATTTATAGGTTTATTAATATTATATAATAATAATATGTGAAGTTTTAAGAATATATTTTTAAAAACCGATTTGCATAGTCGGATATGTCTATAAATACTTTTATGTGCAAGATGCATAGACCAAACGGGACATGCCAAAAAAACAGAACAACAACGGATTAGCGGAACCGTTGTTGTTGTTGCTTGTTGTTTTTCTGGAAGGCACGCGACTTTTTTCGTCTTTTTCACTTGGGTTTACTTATGTGAAGGAGTTAGAATTGCACGCAATTAAGGTAGTTAAATAAAATAAACCAGTGGTTTAAAAGTGATACCTATACGATTCCCAGGTAAGTCTGTCGCAGACCAATATTAATTTAATCAGTGAGAGTAAAAACTAGTTAATCTATATTAAAAAAATGGAAAATACAAGATTCCCAAAAAAACACGCGGCGGAAAAAAAATAGCTGTGAAAAATATTAATTTTTGACGTGAAAAACAACAAATGATGCATATAAATAAACAAATGAATGAATCTGTGAAAAAATTTGAAAATCTTATTGAGTGCTAAGTTCCTAGGGACCAAAAATAAGAGATGTTTGTTTTTATAACTTATTAATAACATTAAAGCACAATTTTTATTTTTGTGTAGGTAAACATACATGGCTATTTAAATAAAATAAAAGTGGAAAAGTGGTATTTTTCCGCATCTGCAAAATAAATAAATGATTTAATAAATAATAAAAAAAATACATAAATAATTTTTTACAACAAAATAAAATAAATCAAGTGACCGAAAACAAAAGTTTGAAAATTTCTTCTCGATATTTTTTTAATTTTCTTATATTTTTAGACAAGGCTGATGGTAAATCTATAAAAAAATGGAAGGCTAAGTCGTTCCATCTTAAGCATATTATCCGAGGAACTTGTTCTGTCCCACAACTTGGAGGGGGGCAAAACAAGAAGAGGCTCAGACTACCCAAATTTCGCCCGTGCCTTATTAAGTAAGTTTTTGTTGAGGCTGAAAACTATTGTTTGTAAGTTTAATTTTTAAAAGACTTCTGGGATTTTTCCATTGAATGCCAAAGATAACATTTCTTTTATTATAAATAAATCTTACAAATAACGATTACTTTCGGTCACTCGTTTTTATTCACGTCTTGTTTTATTTTTAAAACTAATTTTTTTCTAATACTAGATGCAATCGCCCTGGTGGATCCCTCGGATCCTCCCGAAAAGGCGCTGCAGAAGGCAATGCGGTGCGTTAAAAACTTGAGTTGTACCAAAAAAAAGGCAACGCCGGCACCAGATGCTGAGAAGGAGGTGCCAGCGACCCCGATAACACCGGAAACCCCCGAGCTCAAATTTTAAAATAAACAAATAAAAATAAAAATTACAACTGAAATTTTATTTGCTGCTAAGCGCTCAACGTGTGCTGAATGTGAGCTTTTTCCGCTGCTCAATCGAGCGCTCAACATGTGCTGAATGTGTGCTTTTTCCGCTGCTCAATCGAGCGCTCAACATGTGCTGAATGTGTGCTTTTTCCGCTGCTTAATCGAGCGCTCAACATGTGCTGAACGTGTGCTTTTTCTGCTGCTCAAAAAAGCGCTCAAAAGGGTGCTCAAAAAAGCGCTCAATGCCTATGTTAATTTAAGCACTTAGTTCCATACAAATTGAGCACTCAGTGATGAGCTTTTTGCAGTGATTGAGTGCTCAATAAGCGCTGAATGATACTGCAGTATGTTGCTCCCACCCACACGGGTGCGGGACAAAAAAGAATGCACCCGTTGCATGCTTCTGGAAGCATATATCTGGAATGCACCTGGAAGTAACAAACTAAACACATTCTGGGTGTACTCTTTTTTAATGCACCTGGGAGCAACCCAGGAATGCACCTAGAAGCATTCAAAAACCAAATATCTGGAAGTTTTCCCCAGGAATACATACAACTGGATTTCTATTTCATATTTTTTTTTTCAATATTCAAGAACGCAACTAATTTTTGATCGGAGTAACTCCCCTTCTGTACGGTGCTTTGGTGCTTCCTTCTTGTTTATGTACATTTGTCATTTACGCAGTTCAGTCCTTGGTGTGCCCATTCATTTTTTGCGATTCTGAAAAATATAAAGCGAATTGAATATTATATATTTTGAAATATGTGTATATACATTACAAATATACAATATGTTTATTTTGTATGTACAATTTACATACAAATAGTTATTATTTTATTTGTTTAATATATTTTTAGTTTGAATGTTCAGTGTACATGTACTGTGTTATTTTATTGTGTTCATATTGAACTAAATTATCTACACTTTACTTACCTGTGAAAATGTTGATGTAAAATTGGTGGCAGAAAGCAACAAACTTTTTCAAAACACGTGGCACGAACTTCACTTTTCAGAACTAAAAATGCAACTGACGAGAAATGCAAGAGACAAGAAAAACCGCACGCTCCCTTGCATGTTCCCTTTTGTCTTTATTATTTGTTTGTCAAGAGAACAGTTCCGAAAAAAGACGATTGTAAAAAAATGAGCATCGGCAACCTTCGGGTTTGAGTTTGGTTTTTTTACATTACCACTAAAATGCACCTGGATGCACTATATTGAAATACACCCAGATGGCACCCAAAAGACTGCCCCCAGCACGCACATTTTGCTGGGTAAATTTGCATGCGTGCTGTTTTGCGTAAAAAAGATAGGACCCAGAACTATTTCTTTCGGAATACGTTCCCGAAACGGGTGTTTGGGCATGCTTCTGGATGCATTATTCTGAAACACTTCTAGAAGGCACCGCAATAGAATGCACCCAGCACGCACATTTGCCTTGGAAAATTTGCATGCGTGCTGTTTTGCGTAAAAAAGGTACGACCCAGAACTATGTTTTTTTAAAACACGTTCCGCAACTTACGACTGGGTATGAATGAATCCGTCAATAAGTACATACAATGCAGTACTGAAACGACAGGCAATGCAAATTCAATACTGTACACCCAAAGAGGAAACAACTATCGCGGTAACAACTTCAGAGACAGTTACCGCGGTAGGGGCAATAACCGAGCTAATTATCAGCATAATGGATATTACCAATATAATTGCTATAACCAAAATAACGGTTATAACCGAAACTATAATAACACCAGTTTACAAAAGAAAATTGATGAAATACGCCTTTCAGGAAACCTTTGTTTTCCGGTAAGATACATCTCCCTGATTCAGAAAAGGGCACTTAAAATTTTTTCTATGGTACCATTTTTTTTTAAGCGTAAAAAACGTTTTTCGCACTTTTTTGTTTTCTAACTCGAGTTGTGATAAATCGAATTCGGTCATCAAAGACTCATTTTACAGGTAATAGAATGCCCTTTAACTTTCTGATACACATCATTGAGTTCCATTCATTAGTTCAAAAGCTACACTTCGTCAAAGTTGAAAAATTTGGAAAAAAGTCAAAAACGCTGGCATAAATGGCTTCTTTAAAAATACACGCGTAAAAGCCGAAATTAGTTTTATGTTGTTTTCTTGAAGGCTGAACCATAATGGAGAATATGCGTCATTGATCACGACAATCCGTTGGTAAATCGATTTTTAACAGATTTTTAAACGTATGTTCCCAAGTTCAGTATTCGGGAGCAGCGGCCGTTAAACGTTATTTTAAATTTTCAGTGTTAGGGAACGTAAGAATTTGTTGAAAGTTGTTATGCATAACGTCAAAGATCCGAAGTAGTCCGAAAAATGGCTATAAATTCAGCAACCAGGTATATATTAATACCAAACCAAGAAATCCAAAATGGTGTATTCATTGGAAATTCTATTGCAGATTCTAAAAACATCAACAAACAAACAATCTAATAAAAATGAAAACAAAGAAGAAATTTTAGACAAACTGAACAAAAATTTTCCACCTCAGTTCAAGGAAATACTGAACGAGTTATGCACGAAATACACAGATATATTCGGAAAAGAATCCGAATCGATATCAACTAATAATTTTTACAAGCAAAAAATAAGAATGAAAGATGATGAACCAGTATACATAAAGAATTATAGAGTTCCCCACAGTCAAAAAGACGAAGTAGAAAAACAAGTAGTCAAATTAATTAAAGAGAAAATAGTATAACCTTCAGTTTCTGAATACAACAGTGCATTAATAATCGTCCCGAAAAAATCATTACCAAATTGCGATAATAAAAGATCGCGTTTAGTAATTGATTACCGTCAAATTAACAAAAAATTTAATCAGATAAATTCCTCTACCAAGAATAAACGATATTCTTGACCAATTAGGTAGAGCTAAATACTTTTCATGTTTAGATCTGATGTCAGGATTTCATCAAATAGAACTCGAAGAAACGTTTTGAAATATAACGTCCTTCTCCACGAGCAATGGCTCCTATCGCTTCACGCGATTACCTTATGGTTTAAAAATAGCGCCAAATTATTTCCAAAGAATGGTGACAATTGCATTTTCAGGTATCGAACCTTCACAGGCATTCTTGTATATGGATGACCTAATTGTCATCGGTTGTTCAGAAAAACATATGATTAAAAATCCTACAAACGTTTTTGATTTATGTAGGAAGCACAACATAAAATTGCACCCAGAAATGTGCACATTGGACACAAGTGTACTGACAAAGGTATTTTGCCAGACAAAAAGAAATACGATGTAATAGAAAAATATCCAGTCCCATTTTGCAATTACTACAGACGTTTTATTAAAAAATTTTCTGATTACTCACGACACAACTAGGTTATGTAAAAAGAAAGTTAAATTCGAATGGACAGATGAATGTCAAAACGCATTCGAATACCTTAAAATTCAAATGATGAAACCAACACTACTGCAATATCCAGATTTTAATAAAGAATTTTGTATAACAACAGATGCAAGCAAACAAGCGGGTGGAGCTGTTCTTACTTAAGATTACAATAACACACAGCTACCAGTAGCCTATGCATCAAGATCATTTACTAAAGGAGAAAGCAACAAAAATACAACTGAACAAGAATTAGCAGCTATCCACTGGGCGATAAATCATTTTTAACCATATATTTATGGAAGACACTTCACAGTCAAAACAGACCATAGACCATTAACTTATTTATTTTCAATGATAAACCCGAGCTCAAAACTAACACGAATGAGACTAGACTTAGAAGAACATGATTTTACAGTGGAATATCTTAAGGGAAAAGACAATCGTATAGCCGACGAGCTCTCTAGAACAACAATAAAAGACCTTAAAAATATTACGACAAATATATTACAAGTCACTACAGGACAAAAAAGTAGACAAAATTCCTGCGCAGGAAAAGATAAATAAGAATTGCCTAGGCAATCTCAAATAAAAGCTTCTAAACCCAACGTATATAAAGTCATTAACAATGATGAAGTACGTAAAGTAGTAACCTCGCAATTGAATAATAATTTATGTTTTTTCAAACTTGGAAAAAAAATTACAGCAAGATATGATGTTGGTGATTTGTATACTAATGGAACCCTTGACTTAGGTCAGTTTTTCCAAAGGCTTGAACTGCAGGCTGGTAAACAAAAAATTACCCAACTTAAAGTGGCGCCATGGAATAATATCTTTGAAAATATTTCAATAGATAAATAATATTTCAATACATACATAAGGATAGACTAGAATTTTTTAATTCTTAATCACTTTAATTCTCTTATAAATATATCACGTATGGCCATACATAAATTAAGAGCCATAATTATAATGGAAATACAATACAAGCTATAAAAATAAAATTTAATAAATAACACTTTCTGATTCGAAAAAATAAAATAAAATAAAATAACATAAAAAAAATATTATTATAAAATATAATGTTCATTTATATTATATATACATATAGTAAGAAAATAATTTCATAGATTTACTTTAAAAAAAAAAAAATAAATAAAAACAAAAATCATGATATCAATATTTTCTGATTATTAGAACATTTTTTTTTTGAATAATTAATGTTTTCCAACTTTATATATTTCCTCAACAATACAAAATAATTTCTATAATTTTTAAATTTTCAAATATATAAGTTCTAGAAGATAATTTCATAATTAGAAAAAATTTCATTTTATTACGTTTTCAAAAACAAAAACATATTCTTCAGAAAATAACTTCATTACATTACGTTATTTTTCAAAAGGAGGGAGATGTAATATGCATGTATCAACGTATCGAGTACCCACTGTACCGACACCAACATTGTGTTACAGTGCACTTAACAAACACAAAAGTGCCGGCCGCTAAACTCGTGCGGCCAGCTGAAATATGAATACGCCTCAGAGCCCAACTTATGGGAAGTGCTAGTGTCAGCATATTCTCATGGCCTGAGTGCAGACACATACAAGGCATACATATACAACTCGGTGCTACCAGCACAAATACAATTGTGAGCATATACTTCGATATATACATGACGGCCGCTGCCATTGCTTGCAGGGAGCGCAGCCGCGAATAGCTAGCTGTAAGTTATTCTCGATTTGACAACAATACAATAAAGATCTGACCGCGGCCTTTGGCCACGGAGACTAAAACAATGCATTTTTCTCTACGGGTTCAACATGGATTTTACTAACTACAAGGAGGACAATTAACACAACTAATAGCAATCAATACACTAACAAAGGACCCGTTAATCTTAACCTATTACAAGCATGGATCATAAAGTTATTCCGCGGTTTCAGGTGCTTACTTACTGCGATATATTGGCGATCCGTCGCCGTCGGTCTCCCGGTTGTGAGACGTGAACTTCGCGACGGTATAGGGACCGTCGTATTTAGGAGCGAGTTTGGCGGCAAATTCCTCAGCCGCTTTTGATAAGGGATGTTGTCGCAGCCATACTTGACTCCCGAACATTGGTCTCCATTCGCGCCTTCGAAGGTTATAGTACCTCGCCTGCTCCAGAGATGCACGTTGAAGATTCGATCGTACGATGTCGAAGATTCCTTTGAGGTGCGACGCCTTGTCTTCAGGACCTGTATGTACGACCGCCGATCCAGGGGTAAGTTTGTCGTACAGCATCGCAGGCAAGCGTAGCTCCCGTCCCTGAGTGAGAAATGCGGGAGTATACCCCGTCGAATGTGATATGCTACTATTGATAGCGAGAAAAATCTCCGGCAACATATTATCCCAAGACCTTTGATCGCCTTCCGACAGCTGAGATATCAGCGTCTTCACAGTACGATTTTTCCTCTCGGTGGGATTCTCCTACGGACAATACGGAGCCGTGCACTGGACTTCCACGCCGAGTTTAGTAAAGTAGTCATTTAGGGCCCGACTTGTGAATTGGGTTCCATTGTCGCACACTTCTGGGGGATGCCCACTCGCCCGAGTATGCGTTCCCGAAACGCTTTCTGTACTACAGCGGTGGTGGCTTTCCATTTGGAGAACACGTCGTGGAAAACAAGAAGCATAGAGTTTCCTTGTTTCGAACGGGGCAGTGGACCTACGAAGTGAGCACAAAGAATGTCAAAGGGTTCGCTTACGACGCGGGTTAGCAATTTCCATGCT